TAGTTTGAGTCACTAACATCCACGTTGAAATCTTACTCCACAACAGACTGATTCATTTCTGAAGTGCATCAATATTTGCTGTCCGTGACACTGTGAAGTTGTAAAACCTCACTTGAAGACGCACTACACATGAAGAATGCCAATAAAAGCCAATAAAAAGCACTTTGAAAAGACTAGAGCCTCAGCCAGCACAGTACACCTCTACTTACATCCTAAAATGATAAAGAAAACTTTCCACACCAGTTTTTATCTGAAATCTCTGTCAGTCCATGGATGGAAAGAAAGAAAGCAGAATGTAGTAGTTGGGCACTGATGTGTTGTCTTGCCTTTAGCATCCAAGAAGAAAATGAAACATTTATGAGGGTTGCAAAAGAAACTGAATCCCGAATAAAAACTAAAAACAAAGTTTCAACCACGTCAGAACAGCAGACACAGACCAAAACAAACAAAAACAAAAATCACCCGAGATATTATCCCAGAACTTAGGCACTATGACTCAACATTACTGGTTAAACATCTCCAAAATAACTGAAAACAATGTCACGGGTAAAATCCAAAAAGAATCAGTCCCTATGTTTCAAAGATGTTTTGTAAACTCAGTGTAATCACGTGTTATTATATGAAACAAAAACCAGACTCAGTTCCCTCTTTTGTGGTTTCAGGCTTAACATGTGTTATTCTAGGATTTCACAAATTGAAATCCTTTTACCTTCACGCCCCCTTACCTTTTGTCACGCCGCGTTATCGCTGCTCAGCAGTGGCACAGGTGATATCAGCCATAGTTTGTCACCTCCCTCCTTTAAAAAAAGCCCTCGTCAGCACTTCAAAGCAGCAAAACCACAACAAGTCTCTCAGGTTTCCATAAAATGTGTTCCAGTAAAAGTCCAGTGCAACAAGTCTCACTCCAACACTCCATGGGACTACTGAGTGATCCGGCTCCTTGGTCACACTGCAGTCTAAGCTCAGAGGAGGGCTTTACGGGGCTTTCTATGAACCCACCCCTCACGTAAAAATAGCACAGAGAAGCAGACACGGGCAGCACACCAACTTCAAGGAAAGGCATTCATCCAGAGATTTCCTTCGCTCACACCAAGACTGGTTCATGGGAATGCTGTTCCACGTCTATCACACACAAAGCATGAATGACGAGTCAGGTAGGTGGAGCTCAGACCTGTAGTAATGTGCTGCATTACAATATGGTCCAAAATATCAATGTGGAAAGGAAGCCAGTCATTAGCTGTTAATTACTGTTAGTTATTAAAGATTTCTTAAAGAAAGAAAAGGGTTTCTCTGTCTGACTGTGTCATTAGTGTATAATTAGTGTTTTCTCTCACAGTTTTCTGTTTGTAGCAGCAGTGAGAACACAAAAGGTGACAGCTTAAAGTTAATTTATGCTTTCACCTTTTCACCACGTTCAGAGTACATCAACAGAACCTGAAGACACGGAACTTTAAGCCAAACCCTCTTATATAAACACTCAGTACCTGAAACACACCCTCTGCTACTCTCTGCACATAAAGAGACGAGACAAAGACGACAACTCTCAGAGCCATCCTCAATATTTCCACACAGGATGAATTTCAGTGACTTCAATGATCCAGCTCCATGGTTGGTGTATACCCTGGATTGGTATACACCAAACAATTACTATAAAATGTACTATAAGACATTTAAGGAACTATAATACTATCAGGCCATATCTCCTAAATATTACTTTTACTACCTGCGTCAAAAATATTGGGTGGGCTATTTTACGAACACTAATATACTAATATCTATAAAACATGTTCAGAATTTTATACTAATAAGCTAACATGTCAAAATGCTAAATCAGAGCAAAAACTAACATCAGTGCTGTAATTGTGTATCCGATGTCACTGTGTTCGTAGTTTTCTAACAATATATACAGTGTTGCTGTTCCAGCGCCATCACTGCAACTGTCCAATCACAACATTGTGATGTCACAGCTTTGCGGCTCAGTGAGAAACACTAAGGTGTAGCTCATGTTGAAGTGGAAGGGGTGTGCTCCATATAAAGATGGTTTCTTTTGAAGTGGAAATTTACGGCTGGAACATGCCCTCAAGTCAGATTTCCAACTTGGAACGTCAAAGCAACCCCACCGACCCCAGCTTAACAATCCAAGATGGTGGCAGTGCACATAAACAGCAGTTAAACTGTAAACGGTGTGGTCAGTATAGCCACTGTTATGTATTTGTGACTTTGGCTAAATAAGCCACACACAGAACTGACCAGGGTCTACCCGGGAACGTGCTGCAGTGTTTTTGAGTTACAAAGAAAAAAGGATCGAGCTGTGTTCTAGAGGTCGCTTTCAGAGCTTGACTTTGCTAAGGAGCAAAACCAACCCCCTAAATTTGCCAACATTACTTTAAGATAAAACAAAGACTATTTCATAATACATTTTTAAAAAATGCTGTAAGAAAAGCAGTTATCAATCACTATTTCGTTTTAGGCAGAAAATGAACTGCATGGTGCAGCAGAGTGGTTAGCACTATCACTGCTCACAGGAACAAGTTCCTCAGTTTAAATCCACTGGCTGGGTTCACATCTTCTTCCTGTGCCTGTATTGGTTCTCTCCAGCTGGTAACTATAAATGCTTGTGCATCACTCAGTGCTGGCCCTGCGACAGAATCCCGACCGGACAGCTAGGATAAGCTCTAGCCCCTATGGATGGGTGTAAACTACACATTTAGTTTTAGAAGGGGATTTGCTCTAAAATAGGTCTTTAGGTAACACATTAATTTGCCTTTCTGTTTTTGTCTTTTTTTTACAAAAAGCCCTGCAGGCAAACTTCTCCCATGTGCAGTCTTTCAAAACTGTATATAAACATGATTTTCAGTCCCAATGACTGAAGAAATCCTGATAACGAACAATATCAGGTTGTGTAATAGCCATGACACGTGTTAGCATGCTAAACCTACCTGCAGACATAAATCATGCTTCAAGCAATCAGCTCTACAGCTGATGCCTTTGCTGCTCCTGTTAAGATCCTGCCAGGATACTTTTGTTTAATCCAGCCAAACTTGATTTACTTATTTCTAATGATCATTACAACAAAGCTAGCCAGACTGATCTTGTTCCGTACAATCTCCCTCTTGTCTGGTCGCCCATGCAGTTAAAAGTCATGTGTCTCTCCTCTGACTAGCCTGGTCACCCTCAGTTTCACTGTGTAATAATGAAAATGCTCAGTCAAGACTCAACATTTTACTTTACTAAAGGGAATCTCCCCTGTGAAACCTTTCAACCTTTACTTAGACTGACTCTTAGGGTATGTGTGTATGCTTGGCTACAGGTATTAGTGTTTACTTTGCAGATTTAAAGTCAGGAGAAGGAGCAGGAAAAGTGGCAGAGATGCACGGCTGCACTATTCAGTATGCAAGAAGAGCTGCAATCACCGGGACCACAGAAAAGAAAGATGACAGTCAGGATTGTGCTTTCAGCACAGGCTTACCAAAAAAAAGAAAACAATTATTGTCGTGTACTGTATCTTCATTTTAAGTCATCTGCAATTCAAGAAATGTATCAAATAGAAACAGTTGATCCTAATTATCCTTTTATCAAAGAGGGAAAATAACCTCTGTGCTAAACAAACACTCAAAACAGGGTTGAAACTGAATGCGGTGCCTTTATCGCCTGCATAAACACACTAGCTTGCCAAAATCAGTCTTCGTTCTGCATTCAAAGAGAGACACCGCTTCAGCGCAGAGATATCCTGACTAAACACGAGCGGCTCATATTTGGAGAGCCGAGCTCGGCCGACACCTCTGACACCATCCTCAGCACGACGCGCGCTCTCTGTTTGATCAGCTGCGAGTAAGAAATTAAACGAATCAGCATATTTACTGAGACGAGGAAGAGAAAACAGGAAGCTGCGGATTGGGTGCTGATGGGGATAAGCGAGTCGGAGCACCACTGAGACGCTGACTGACTGAGAAGCGGGTGACCGCGCTGAAAAATGATAGGCATGATGGGAATTATGAAACACGGCAGCTTGGCACAGAGATCACATTCAGCGCTGTCTGTGATTGAAGTAATTAAGTAACTGTAACATTTGCTCCAACATGGCAAAACACAGCCAATCAACTCGCTCTGCCACATGACAGTACTACTACCACCACCTCTGCTTAACAGCTACCTGACAGGAACGTCTGCATGTGCCAAGGGATGAAAGGAGGAGGAGAACGCACAAAAGCAGAAATGACAACATGCAATGAGGCACACTTTAGGAAACAGGAAGCAAGAACATTAAAGAGGTGATAAGGTCAAACTGATCGAGGGAAACAGCACGGCAAGATAAACAGGATGCTAGAAGAGGACAAACTATAAAACCACGCAACAGAGCAACAATTATAAATAAGGTGGTATGCAGAGACAGCAACAAATGAACAAAGGAAGAAAAAAAACTACATGGAGCTGCTGAAACTGCCTTACATATGATTACAAAACAGCTAATTAACTCAGTTTTAATTGGACGATATTGATAATCAGTTAAGTACCATGTCTGTTTTACATGTTTGTTACTTCTGTTACATTTAATTGATGAAAACTATCATATTTGGTAATACAGCTCCAGAAATTTTCATGGGTGAAAACAGGAAGAAGTTAATGGTTCTTAAAGAAAATCTAGAAAGTGAATACGAGATAAGATAAGTTAAAGTTCTTTGTCTTCAATGGTGAAAATGGAAGCAGGACAATGATGCTGGGTGGATGGTTTAAGAGAAAGTTTTTCCAGGGTTTGACATAGAGAACAGTTGATGATGATGAAGATGAGGGTGGCGGTGGCACAAGACAGAAGCACACACAAGCGTCAGCAGTGCGATGACTCACAACCAGAGACCAACAGAGAGCCGTAAGATGGCAACGATGGGGAAACTCACTGAGAGTTCAAGGAAAGGAGGGTCGGGGGATTCGTGAAGGGAAGCTCAAGATGTCCAGATTCTGACCAATCAAAGCGCTGGAAAAGAATTTCCCGTACTCCCTACCTGGGGAGGCAGCGTCCCCATCCAGCAGGTTGTCGTCCTCGGTGGTGTGGAAGTCCATGATGACGCCGGCTCCATCCAGCAGCTCCTCGTCGCTGCTGGCGCTGGCGATGCTGTTGTAGCTGTTCCTGCAGTAACCTCTGTGGTACAGCTGCTCCGACTCCATTTAGCAACGCGCCGGGACCCTGGGTGATAAGGAGGGGAGTGGTGGAGTTATACATATTGTGCTTGATTAGAGTCTACATGGTGAAGTGAGTCTATGATGGGCACAGGTGAGCAGGGTGGTATGTTAGCAGGTAAATAGCAACGATGGACGGGCACAACAAACACATCAGAATCAAATACAGCAACGCTTTGATGGTTGATACATTCATCGAATGGTCTGTAGACCTGTGTGACTGGGGCGCGCAACTGGTCGAAGAATACCCATCATTACTTCATGACCAGTGGATGCCAAATGGTTGCAGACTGGTCTCTCGTCCAGTGTGAATGCAGACTTATTCACATGATCCTACGCTGTCACACATCCACACACGTCATGGGTCTGCAAGTACACTTTATCCCACCTCAAACAGAAAATTTTACCCTCTCTCTTTTTCATGCATCACACATGCTTTGTATCTCCATCTGTACTAACTGAATAATATAAAAAAGAGATAACAAGATCCAATATATAAAATACACAGCATAATAAAGATATTACACCATTTAATCTGTTGGCGTTTTGCAGAGCGTAGCTTTGATATGATAAACCATCTGCAGCCATTAATTTCTTTCTGCAGACGAGAGGGATGAGACATCCATTCAGCTGAAAGATGAATGCAGGCTGACAGCGGGTAATGAGAAGAGAAAAACGCACGATGATGAAGATGATGATCAGACCCAAAGTGAACCCTTCATGGCAATGACGTGGTACAGCAACAAATCAGACCTGAGGCGCAGTGAGCAGAAGAAACCTCCAGCCTCTAACTGAAGAGATCAGTCCATCAACAAATCCCAGTGTTGGGGTTATTTTTCAGACTTAAATGGGTCATTTAACCACAACCCCCCCCCCAAAACCTAACAACCCTATATTATTACTTATTCTTAACGCTCGTCTAAAGTCTTTTTTCCCTTTTTGTGTAAAAGCTTTATTTTGTTTTGTATGCCCAATTTTTCAATGGTGTTTGGCATATGAATAAGAGACATTTCTTAATTTTTGTTTCTTAGCCTACTTGTTTTCTTCAGACAACACTAAAAACTTTAAATCTTAAGTATTTGATACACCAAGATGGCGCCGAGTATGGCAGCCTCGTCACGAGCTCCCCCAAGCAACAGCTACACTCTTATTTTGCACATATATTTATTACTCTCAGATTTAGCCATTCTTATATTTTTCTTGTTTTATGTTATTGTATTTTTGCACAACTCTGTTGCTTGTGAAGCTCGCACACAAGAATTTCACTCGCATGTACTGTACCAGTGTACCTGCACATGTGACGTGACAATAAAAGTGATTTGGTGATTTATTTGGCAAAGATGATGCACCAAACCGAAGGCCCTTCCACTCGCAGCGCAGCCAAGGGAAGGTTATTTATAGACTGAGGGATTAAAATGACACATGGGTATCCTCTCCACAATGAGAGCACGATTATGATAATATTCCTGCTGGGGGAAAAATTACAGAGCCTGTTCAATGCCACTGCATGCCACCTGCTCTTACATCTCGCCCCCTTGTGGAAAAGTTGGAAATTACAACTCAATACGTAACCACAAACGTGACTCAGGACCAAACCAAAAGTGATCCTCAGCAGGCCCCACACACGATGACAGTGCAGCGGGTCCTGAAGATTAAAGGTGACCTTCGGCTATTAATAGAAATATGTACCCCGAAACATGATGAGCCACGCTGTAATGGGGAAAGATGGAATATCAGCAGCCTGGTGCTGAATAATGGAGGGTCTTTATTAATCAAGGATGCACAGGTGGCTCTATATTTATCCAACACACTTGTGAAAGGAGATTTGGGCTTAAAACAGACATTAGCTCTCTATATTTATATTCCACAGGAGCTAAACTTCCTACAGAAAAGTAGCGTAGAGCTGAAACCTGACCACTGCTGATTTGTGTGTGTGTGTGTGTGTGTGTGTGTGTGTGTGTGTGTGTGTGTGTGTGTGTGTGTGTGTGTGTGTTTTCCTGCTTGGATAACACTGACTGAATTATGGCCAGAAGTAAAACATGCTTAGTCAGCCCTGTAGTTCCTACGTTGCTTCACGCTAAAGTCGTTCATTTCCTGACGAGTGTTTCTCCACACAGTGCTTTTCTTCATATTACTTCCTGAAACCAGTTAAATTTAGACTTCAAGGTGCACAAAACTCTGTTTTAAGATAAAAACCGCGGGGAAGGCACTGCTATTGTTCATCTATCTTCTCCTTGTCAGATTATATCTGACATAAAGTTTGAGGGTTTTCCCCCGCTCTGTTGCTTTTTCAGGATTATAAGGAAGTATTTTTTTCTTCATTAAGTATTGGGATACTGGAACTCACTGTGGAACTCTAGATTGACTTTTAAAATAACCATATGTCCATCAGTGATACAGATTCTGTCATTGGATCCAGATTGAATATAATAGTATAAAAGTAGACAGGAAAAAGGGAATAGCGGGAGACCCAGCTTTCCAGTGCAGGCCAGAGTCACACTGGGCCTGTCACAATTAAGTGGCATCGTCCTTAAATTCGCCCCAAAAATTAAGCCCATCTTAACCTCTGCACACTGCACTGCTGAAAGTCTTTGTGTGTGAATCACAGCTGGTGGTCACAGCATGTTTTGAGGCTGTGTTAACAATGAAGTGAATTGTGTGGTTCACAGAAAGACACACACAACGGCTTTTTGAAAGAATAAATATAGATCAAATACAATCCTCTGCAAACATGAGTAACCTGGCTTTGTGACATCTCTCTCCTGTCTTGCTAGCCTTCATTCAACAGCCCCATATGAGGTACTTCTCCACACCCTGCAGCGGTGGTTGCATTGAATTTTTTTGTCACATTTGGCAACTGCTTCGATGTAACTGAGGCTAAGTCCACACTAGCCCGGATAGATCTGAAAACCGTGTTTTCGTCTGAAAACGCTCTGCGCCCACACTAGCGTTTTCAGTGGTTTTCACAGAGTTGTGCGTCCACATTGAAACGGCCCAAAACGCTTACGTTTCAGTCCTGCGCATGCGCACAAGCGAGTGAGAATTAAAGAATTTGAAGAAAAGCTATCTGGAGCATGTACAAACTGATATTCATCTGTCAAAATTGAGAGCAATCAAAACAACTGCTGTATAATGCCCTCCGCTATCTTTGTTTAATTGGTCAAATGACTGCATCACATGACTAAAATGCGTCATCATTTTAGAAAGGCTGCGTTTTCGAGTGTCCACACTACGACGGGGCAGCTCCGTTTTGAAATGAATGCGTTTTCGAGAGCGTTTTCAAAACGCTGCGTTTCTCAGTGTGGACGGGGGCCAAAACGGAGAGAAAACAAGAGAAACGTGTGGACGTAGCCTGTGATGATCAACTGGTCACCCAGAGGTGGAACATGCGACACATGGCAACCTGTTTCCAACGATCGTGGTCCGCCTCAGATTGACTTCAATCATTCTCAGACAGATTGGTGCAGGGGGAGGTTTCTGGTTTCAGGGTTTCTCCCTATGGCATTTGGCAGTTGAATCACTATCTGGCAGCACCTACCTCACGATTTGTGGAGGCATCTATGTGAATTTCTTTAATGTCATTTTCTCCATATGTACAGCAGACGGCAACAGATCTGCAATTTTCAATTATTACTCATCACAATTAATAATTGTGCACTAATACACAATTTATCATCATCTATCCCGCACAGTTTGCAAATAAAAATGCTAAGTCATTAAATATCCCGTTCTTACCCACCCGCAGGAATCACACAAACATGTTTCCCATAACTGGACCCCTCCCTTCAGACGCTGTTCTGTAGTGAAAATCTCTCACCTCCAACAAGCAAACGCTGACACTTGTTATGACAGCACACGACAGCCTTCTGCAAAGGCCAACGGTGCAGCTACAGAGCAGTAATCCTCACTGGAACCAACTCCACAATGTGAGGAAAAAAGAAAAGACAAACTTTCCCCGAGCCAACAATCACACTCATTCACTGTGAGACGGGATTTCCCTTTGAGCTTTATCAAATCAGTACGGTCAGGAAATTCAATTCAGCCTATTTGCAGAAACAACCCTGAGGCAGAGATTGTTTTCTCTTCGCTGTTTGACCTCCAGTTACATAAAAACTGCCAAGATCTTGGATCCATACTCTGCCAATTCTGGCATTTAAATAAAGCGCACAGCAGGGGTGCTGACTCACGAAGCATCGCAAGCTAAGACAATAAAATGCACGTATGAGATGAACCACACTGCTGCGTCTCTTAATGATGGACAGCTTCACTTCTAACCATCGTGTTTTCTTTTACTCAGCTCTGCTAGTGCCATGTGATAGCTATAATTATGACAGTCTGCAGTGTACTTGTTCAAGTTTCCCCTCTTTCTCTGCAACAGAAATCAAAACAATAATTACACCAGGGAGACCGGAGGGTGTTGATTATTTAGGAGCTGCAACCGAGCAACTCAGATTGCAGCTCGCTGTTTGAGGGTAAGCTGATAAGTGCGGCATAATCAGCAGCGCAGCAACAAAATGCTGCAGGGTCTGCTGATGTTATACAACTAGTTGAGCAGCGAGGGACCTTATCTTTCTTCAGCCGGTCACTATGGAGGTGTTGCCCAGGCGACTGTTGCTGAGATGTGACTCAGCTTTTTACCCTCCCTCTAACGGCTGGGCTCGTACCTCCTTCACAGAGAGGACTTGACATGCGTATCCATCATAGGCAGCGGGCGGTCGATATATGGATCGTGAACATCCGATGTAGAGCAGCCCAGCACAGCACGGGGCTTTCACTCATCATAATTAACAGCACTTCAGCAACAAGCAGCCAACTGCTCTGACTGTGTCACTGACACTGATGGCTGAAGGTGTGAAGTCATGCAGGGAAGTCAATTTGAGAAAATAACACACGCATATACAGCCAAACATGCACATATAATAAATGTAAGCAGTTATTAGTTTACTGAAACAGACGAGTATCATTTAATCAACTTATATCATCATTTTTCTGCCACTTCAGCACCAA